GAGGAAAATGGATGGATGGAATTTACAAAGACCACTGCATCAAAATATACTCCAAAAGTCAGCCAAAGAAAGAGACTTGTCCACTTTTGAAAAAGAAAGAAGCAGTGCATTATGAAAAAATAAAAGGAAGACAAAACAAATGGTATATTTGTTGAATTCATGTTTGTTCTGTGGCAAGACTGTTGTTGTCTTTTTTCCTTGCACAGAAGAGCAATACTCATGCTGTTCAGTGGAAGCACAAACGTGTACTGGGGCCAGGCGTCCTGGGCCAATAGCTGGCCAGCTGGCCTGACGGTATGAGATGGTTTCTGGTGGCAGTGGAAAGACGGCATTAGAGTCACCAGTCAATCTAATCTGCATGTCTCTGGACTGTGGGAGGAACCCAGAGCTCCCAGACAAAACTCACTCAGACACGGGGATAACAACTCCACACAGAATTAAGAAGCAAATTTTGTACTTTCTATATTTATCTAATAACATCAGTTTACTAATAGTAATACAAAATATAATCAACAAATACAGTACATAATGATTTATTATTATAGAAGGAGATAAGGACAACACTGTGCTGGTTGGCACTGTCGCCTCACAGCAAGAAGGTTCAGGGATCAAGCTTTACTGATCACTTTAACTGTAGTGGAGTGGAGGTATCAGAAGGAGCAGTAGCATATAAACTGATGCTAAACAGACAGAACTGCTGCTAATCAGTTGTGCAATGTGGTTGATTATCACATACACTTGATTATTCTGAGTCTCATTCTTTTTTCTTTGCACCTCATCAAATAAAACTTAATTGAATTGTAGATATTAAGCAGGCAAATCATTTTAGAGCCAATTCTCTCCTTTTTTACTTTGACCTAACATTTAGTAGAGTTATTGTAGCACAGCGGTGTGTCTGCTTGTGTGTGTTTTTACACCAGTGTCTAACCAGTGTAGGAATAATGTTCCCACATATGCCTGAATCATCCACAGTTACATCACATAGCCACAGGAAAAAGTGAAAACTTTAATTTCTTCTCTCAGAATTTCTTTCTTTTGACCTTTAATTCGTTCGTGATTTGATTCAGTTTAGTTTTTGCCTTTTCATAGTCATATCTTCTTCCTGTTCATTTTTCTTTCCTCTCACATTTTCATTCTGATGTTTTAACAGTGTAAAAAAAAATTAACCATTTTAGTCTCCTTTGTATTTCTTTTCTTTCCTTCTCAGTTTGGTTCAACCCACTTCAACAGTGCACTGGAAGCACATAAACATGAGCCAAACCAAAGCCAAAATTACTCCCACTTACAAATACACACACACACACACACACACACACACACACACACACACACATTCATTCCCCTCATACATATTTTAACATAACAAACATTAGATAAGACAAACATCTCTCAATCTTCTCCAGCCTAAAGGGGGAGAAGATAATTCAGATTTTAATGTTTATTCCCCCAGAAGGGTAATTAGATCATTTTTGTAACAAAGATAAAGTTCACACATTAATATCTCAGAACTACATTTTTATAACAACACTGCACAGCACCTCAAAATTAAATCTCCAAAAATAGATTGCATTGTAATATAGTTCAGCTTGTTCCACTAATGGCCATAATTATCTTGTCTTCCTACAGCAACATCACAGAATGGAACTAATTTTGCACTTTTCAGGGTTCAGTTTTGGATTATAACACATGTAACATGGGACATTCTCGACAGTGTATATGCAACTTCTTGACAGTCTCTCATTGAAAGAAAACTACTTGTTCCTTTGCTGCCCAAGGCAAACCCAAACCTACACAGTACACATACTTCTCCCTCTCACAAACAAGACAATGTGGGAGATTTTATAGTTTTAATAGTTAGGTTAACACAATGTCACAAACATCCCCGGTGGTGACAGATGAATCCTTCAACATAGTGACTTTCATTTTATATTGTTCATTCATTCTCTCATTATTCACATTGCTTGGCATTATATGTAATCTTTGACCATAATAACTACAGGCTGTCCTTATACTGTCACTATACTATGTCATCTTCCATATAATGTTCCTTTTATACTGTATGATACATAATGGGAAAATAACAAGCTTGCTTGAATAAAACAATACCTGAGAAATCATAATTTAATATCTGTAAAATATAGAAGATAGTTCAATTCTATCTCATTGATTGATACCTTCAGTTTCAGTAATGAACTCTATGAGGCTTCACTTCATGGAGTCAGACAAATGAATCTTTAGTGATTTGAGTAACTTAATAACTCACTATAATATTAAAATTTCTAACTGTATGCACATACTGTAATACCTAATCTGAGGGCATGTCCATGGTACCTACGTTTTTCTGATTTTGGTTTGGCGCACAGACATGCTCATCAGCTCATGAGCCTCTTAACTAAGCATATTTAAATCTCATTACCTGGCATTCACACCACCCTGCGGCTCACCCACCTCCAGCCCACCACCACCACCATCATCCAGGCTCCATTTATGGGGGGAGCACTCAATTTGTCGTTCACCAAATATGTTTGAACATGACCAAATGAACCCTGACATTTTTAGTAGATGTCCTCCCTGATTTAATTGTTAACTGACTGAAAACCCATGCAAACATTCACTGATACATTATTTTAATTCTGAAATCAATTAAGGAGAAGATACAGCTGTTTTTGAAAATCATCACCCATCACCACTTCTACCTTTCCATCCTCCTACAGTTCCGCCACCAGTCTTTTCACTGAACAAATCACACCAGAGATGCTACAAATGATCCCCAGACTCAGTATACCAACATCTATCAGCCGCTCCCTCACAGTGAGGCAGCCCCACTGCAGTCTGAGGTGAAACAGGCATGGCAGTATGAGTGCCATGACTGCCCCGGTCACACTGCCTGTCAAACCCATCAGCAGGGAAAATCTGGGCACCAGCAGGGCCAGTAGGTATGATGTCATCAGCAGGGCACCACGGACTAGCAGGGTCGAACAAGACACACCTCGGCCTTCATGTCTGGGGTACGATGAGAGAGAAGAGTCTGGAGATATGATGAAGCAGACAAGAGAAAAAGAAGAAGAGAGAGAGGTTTATCACTTGGCCTTAAAATTTAACCAGATTACTTCTTTTCTGAGTTATGGGTCATATTTTTCACATAAATCATAATATTTCAAATCTTATCTTTTGCCCATTTTTACTTGACTCCTGAGATACACCAGTGTTCTCCTAGCATGCAGGTTCAATTTTCGTTTTACTTTTCGTGACAATTTTTCTTAATTAACTGAAGGAACTCTTACTTCCTTTATTTGGGCAACATCACTGCTTTAAAAATAAAACAGATCTGTCAGTGGTGTTCACCTCCAAACAGGCAGGTTTGAAGTATTTCAGCAGCAGAGTAGAATGGCAGAGAGTAGGAGAGAAGGGCTTTAGCCAACAGACACAGGTTGACTATGGGTCGAAGGTCAGAGGGCAGGTTGTCTGTGATGACCTCAGTGATCTCTGCCCCCCAGGTCAGCACAGCCTAATGGAGGCAGAAAACAACACATGCACTCAGTCTCCTGTGATTAAGGCTGCTGCTTTCAGGTAGATGTGAATCCACAGACACACATTTCTGTTAATATTTTCTGACTTTTTGGCTATCAGCATATAAAAATTAGCAGAAATTAGCGGAAAAATAGGTCTCTCAACTCAGTATGGTCATTGAAATACACAAAGAAACTGAATGGAAAAATAGGTCTCTCAACTCAATATGGTCATTGAAATACACAAAGAAACTGTGTATTGTGTATAAGATACTTTTTTAGCTGGTATCCAACCAATAAAGTAGCAACTCACCAATAAAGAAAACATAGTTTTCATGATGCAGGCGGCACCGTGGGTCCAACACAGCATGGCATTAAACTGCCCTTTGTTATCCATACTGCCCTCTAGAGGAGGGAGGAAGATCTGTGAGGTGTAGGAGAAGATGATGACACCCACGGAAACAAGGAAGTCTTCTGGGTCCACAGACAGAGACAGAGAGGACCAGGACCAGCTGCTGGCTCGACTCAGGCAGTACAGCATGACCAACAGGCTGACACAGGGTCAGAGACACAAGAAGAGCAAATGAGAAAATGTAATTACCTACGGAATAAATCATCTAAAATAAACAAAATAGGAATATTTGTTTTTATTGATTGAATCAACAATTATTTATATAAGAAAGTGCAATAAGAGTTGTTTACTCTCAGGTACACAAGACAATAAAAGCAACAGTTCAGGCAAAGAAAATAAAGCAAGAAATACAATTATAATTAAAAAAAACTTAAAGCAGAAGTTGATGAAGGGACAGAACATTTCAATTTAATTAAATTCATAAAATACATTATTGTATTTGGTGAAGGGTTAATTGTTCCTGTATGTATATGCAACACATGGTTATTTAGACCTTTGCTCCTGGTGACTCCTAGTTAATCCAACCAGTAGCAGGAAATCAACATAGAAGACAATAAACCCCCAAACCAAATATGTTTATCTCTCTGGATACGTCTTGAATTACTGTTAAATTAACTGAAAGGCAATGTGCATGTGCAGAAGACTTAATAGACAAAGAGAAGCTTTGACGGATCAGAGGGCCCTGCTTTGTTTTCCTTGTCTCATACTGGACTCCTGATATTAGAAATATATCAAATTACAGGTACAAACAGTGTGTAGGTGGGAGCAGCAGCTGTGAAATAATCATAAGAGTGAGAACGGAAGCAGACGGCACTTTTGTCAGTATTTAACCTGGCTGGTGAGTTTGTCAGCAGATACTGATCAGCTGATAAATTTAGTCGGTCACCTGATCAGTATGTGAGCCAGGGAACAGAGCAGGCTGAGAGTGGAGACTGGCCTGAGATCGGTCAGCAGCAGGCAGGGCAGCAGGAACATCACTGAGACCAGAGAACATACTGATCTAGGAACAGCCATTCCAGACAGACTATCAGACAATAAACTGGTGGAGACAACTAGATACAGGGTGCAGGTCATCAACAGTTCAGTGACCTGGAAAAAAGAAACAGCACACAGAGGAACACTTACTGTATCTTGTGGAAAAGAGAGACCTTTCTTTGATTTCTTAAATAATGTTAAGATATAATGCACTGTAAACACTTTTCCTGTAAAATAACAGTAAAGAGCTGGCAGCAGGGACGCCAGCAGTATACCGTTATTTTTACGGTATTCGTACGTAAAATGACTTTACGGTAGTAGTCTGTAAACCAGAAAAACGGTATATGTTTGTATTTCTATAATTTACGGTAAAGAGCTGGCAGCAGGGACGCCAGCATTATACTGTTATTTCTCAGGGCTATAGACAATTGCTTAAGATATGCATTATTGTGAATATTATGCAAAATATGCATGGTGGTAACTTGGCAGGTAACTTCAAACTTCAAAATCAAATATCTTTATTTCAAAGTGCAATGTCAATATCAACATGTATACAAAAAATGTCGAAAAAGAAAATAAATGTTCTTGTGGATCCAGGAGAGATGACCATTACTTTGGTAGCCACTGTTCCTCTCTGCAGCATTATTCCAGTGTCGCCACTGTCAAACAACAACAAACAATCATAATAATAAATAAACTATACAATCAGGAATGTACAGTATACACTCCAAGCTAACGCTTATAAAGTTAATAATACCAGTTC